CTTTTGCTTTGGCTTCAGCTTTGGGAGGGGCAGGGGCTTCCTTCTTTGCCTTCGGCGCCATCTTGGTAAAAAGCAGTACTACCTTCTTAAAAATGTATTTACTACAGCGTCTACAGGGTCTACAGGGTCTCACTACACAGATTGGACTTGTAGTGATCCTCCTGTTTTCAGCCTCCCAAGTGCCTGGATTACAGGTGGGCACCACCACTACCAGTCTCAGTTGCCCTGTCTGTGTGCGTCAGGGGCAGGGTGGCATGGCATGCCAATATAGTACTACTTTTAATGATTACTTCCTTTCAGTTTTCTTAAGGAATAATTTATAAACAGTGAACTATATACAATGTAAAAATGTGCAATTTGATGAGCTTTGACAGTTAATCTCTGTGAATCCTCACCACAACCAGATGCAAAACCTTTTTAAAATCATTTCCAAATTATTTCTCATGTATATTTGCAGTCCATCCCTGCCTTTGTTCGCTTGAGCAGGTAATTGCTGGTCTGCTTTTTGTACTCATATGTATTTAATTTTTATTAGTTTAGTATTTTGGTGTAGTACTGTATGTGTTCTTTTTCATTGTCTTGTTTCACTCAGAATAATTTTGAGATTTGTCCGTGTTGTTTTTTCTTGTTGTTCAGTAGCATTCTATAGCATGGATAATTTAACTACCTGTTAGTAAATTTCTTGTAGCTTTTGGTTAATGTGAATAAATATCTGTGAGTAAGATCATGGTGAACAGTCACGCACGTGTTTATGTGGCAAAGGCATTTTTGAGAAACTTTTTTTGGAGACCTGAAATCACTCAGAACCTCATGCTTACCATGCAGGTGACATGCCGCTGAGCTAAATCCCTGGCACTTGTCATATGTGGAGATCCACTCTCAGGTCTCTTTTTTAAAAACTTAATTTAATTTTATTTTAATGAGAAACAAATATCAATGAGACAGTTTCAAAACTGATTGATAGAACAGTTTCAAAATTAATACATTGTACATTGTGATCTTCTTTGTGGTTATCCATAGTACAAGATGCAGACAGGATATTCTGTCCAAACACTGTTAGTACACCTCTTTCTTCTCATTGAGTTAAGCGAAAGTAGCT